AAATTAAAAATCAAAATATCATATATTCATATTAATAAATACACAATTTTTAGATATTGTTTATCTTAATATATAAAAATTAATTCTATGTATAAAAAATTATTGTCATTGGGTATATTATAAGTCTTCTAAATATTAATAATACAATTAAAAATCAAATCTTTAATGAATATTTATTCAAATTAATATTCATAAAAAAAAAAATAAAAAAAAATAGGTACATTGACATCAAACAATTAAGTAGTAACATCCACTCAGATTCTTAAGTTGTACAAATCATAAAAATATTACTTTGTCCAACTAATTCCTCCTTACGCCCCGTATCAATTTATCTAAAATAATTAACAAGGTAAATAACATATAATATAACTTATTAGTAATAAGATATATAAAATAACATAACACATTCTAATCCATTAAAATTAATGTTAAATAAAATTTTCAAGAAACAATTCCTAAACATGCTAAAGAAAAAAAAATAGCAAAATTATCACAGACTATCAAAATATAAACACTTCACCTTTAAAGAAATAATATAAATTAATAATTATAGTGATAGTAATAACAATAGGTACTAAAATTAATCATGTTAAAATCTTTTGGAAAATAGGAGATATAATAAAGGATTGAGCAACGCAACAAAATTCAAGGTACATTTAGAATTACAATTACTAGTTGAATCCCAAATTTTTTATTATTTTATAATACTCTTATATATCCTAATGTTAGTGATGTCCATGGTTATGAAGATATGTTGTTAATTACTCGAAATGTTAATATTCTAAAACGAGTAAAATGATTGTTATTGGTCATAGCGATTAGATGTTTTAATTACCATCCATATTGGAAGCGTTAAATTTTTCTTTTACCACAGCTAAGGAAAATAATAAAAATTATTCAAATAGCAAATAAAAATAATATATTTTTAATAAAATCATTTATMACATAATTTTATTTTCATTACCATCATAATACTTTTTGAGACTCTCTAATTGTTGATTTCTTAACCAAATATGAGGTCGTTTGGATACAATATTTTCTATTGCTTGTTCAGGAGTCCAATTATGTTTCTAAAATGATTAATGATAAAAATAACAATGATGATAACCTTAAATTTCATTATAGATAATAAAAGCAATTAGAAAATACTTATTAGTAATTTATATACATACAGACATCAAATAACACCCCACAAGAGTAGCACTACGAGTACGGCCTGCCTTGCAATGGACATATACAGTGTTACCTTCTTTTGAAACTGATTCCATCACTGAAACGCCTTGAATTAATTTTTCATGCGATGGAGTCTCAAATATATCTTTTGTACTCAACTGACAATGTTCTACTCCCATTTTTTTCCATTCCTGAAATTAAAATATAACAAAAGTTAATTTTAAATATTTATAACATGTTTGGACATGATTTATAAATATGTAAAATATTATTTTGAATTTAATTTCATATAATGTAAGACACAGCGAGTATACTAGCTAATTGTGTATTAATTTGAAAACAATAAATTAGTAACAAGTAATACAGACAAAAGCAATAGCATAGCTGAAGTTCAATCTAGAATTGTGATTAAAATATCACCAATATAATTTCCAAGTGGGCATCTACCTATTGTCTTCTCAACTATGCCACAGGACAAAATTAATAACATTTAATATAAATATAATTAAATATAACTAATAAAATTATTAACATTTACAACATAGTAAGCTTTCACCACGACAAATTACTAAGCAGAAATTAACGAAACTCAAATTTATACCCATCTAAATAAATAAAATTATAATTCAATATTAATATCATTTGTTTGATATTATAAAARTGACGTAAATTAAAAGCTTATCAACTACGTATTTAAAAATTATCGTAAAATTACCAAATTTTCATTTTATATATTAACTAATATGGAAARAATGTAACAAACATTTTAAGATTGAAATACTTTTAATGCATACAATTTGTAAAGGTTTAATTTAATAATCCTGAATTTACAATAATTTAAGTTTACCACTTTCAATAACTATCAAGTAAGTAACTATTTTTATTAATTTAATATTAGTGCATGTAA